ACTGTAAGCAAGCCACCTCCAGTTAGTGCTTTTTTTTTTTTTTTCTTTCAAATAAGTTGCCTTGGTCACTGTGTCTCTTCACAGCAATACAACAGTAACTAAACCAGCTATAGGAGGGGGTGGAGAGATGGCTCAGCAGTTAAGAGCACCAGCTCCTCTTCCAGAGGACCCAGGTTCAATTCCCAGCACCAACATGGCACTTCACACAGGGTTTGCCTTAGACCTGAGGCAAGTCCTTCTCCTCTATAACCCCAGTTCCAAGAGATCTGACACAGACAAGCAGGAAGAACACCAATGCACATGAAATAAAAATAAATCATTAAAAAAAAAAAACTTGCAAGACAGAGTGCAGTGTGTGAAAAATAGAGGATAGAGCCAGGTGGTAATGGAGCATGCTTTAATCCCAGCACTTGAACAGCTACCAGGACAGCCAGGGCTGCACAGAGAAACTGCCTTGAAAAACAAAACAAAACACAACAAAAAGAGGACAGGAAGAGATATTGGATTGCGGGGCTCATTACATTTCTAAACAGGATAAGAAATGAGGGAGGGAGGGAAACTCCATGTAGGAGACAGACATGAACAATGGCATCTGACCTGTTAGACCAACAGCATCACAACAGGACAGGAATTATGGGGTCATCATCTATTCAGCCTGCTGATCTGGAAGTGTCCTGTGACACCAGCCCTGTTAGCCAATGACAAAATGAGCCATCCCAGCTGCACAGCAGGTGTGTCAGCACATCATGGACACATGATGTGTCCATGGACACATGGACACCACTTTGGCAAGTTCCATAGTCGTGGAAAGAAGACCATGTAACCTGACAACAGGTTCTCAGGAACCACCAGGGGTCCCTGTAGGAAACCAGAAATCACCGTGGCCAGAAGTGGAGGGGTTGGGTCTCAGCATAGGGAGGGAGGTCTCTTGGCCCTTCCATGAAGAAGGCAGGACACTCAGGCCTCAGAGGGGCAGGACAAGGTAGTAGAGGCTTCACATCAGAAGAGCACCATTAGTTTAGTTTTGTGCTTAAAATGTAATTTGGAGACGGACTCGGTGATGCCTGCCAGCACTCTAGGAGGCCAGAGGCAAGCAGATTTCTGGGAGTTTGAGGGCAGCCTGGTCTACAAATCAAGTCCAGGACAGACAAGGCTCTACAGAGAAACCCTGTTTCAAAACACCAGAAGAAAAAAAAAAAATGGGGGCCATATCCATGGCTGACAATTCTTTGTTGATCTTCTCCATGCCCCCTGTAGGAACAACAGCCCCAAAACCCACCCCCCCCCCCCCCCCCCGAGGTATCCAGATCTTCCTCAGCATCAACAGTAAAAAGAACAAGAGTTTCAGAGAAGAGGAAATGCAACCCAGGGCCCCTCTGCAGGGAATGGCGAGCATTCATCCCAATTCTCTGGGTAAGATGCAGAGCAGTGAATGCCATTCTGCAGCCCGGGGCCAGATGTTCACAGCTGTGCAGCCAGGCCTGCGCATGTGTACAAGTGTGCCAGTGTGTGCTTGTGTGTTTGTACACATGCATGGGAAGGAGGGGTCATTCAAGTGTGCAGACATGTGGTGTTGTGCGTGAGGTGTGTGCAATCACATTCCGGGTTACTGAGTGTGAACCTGTAGAATACATGTGCAGCCATATATGGTCAGGGGGAGTGTTGACTACATGCAGCTACATGGAGCTTGTGCATGTGTGTTTGGGCTGCCCTGTGGACATGCAATTGTGTGAAGTATGTTGCTGGGCGAGATGTGAGCCTTTGCAAGCGTGGAAACCCAGGTGGCCCGGGAAAGTGAGCGGGAGGCAGCCACGTCACCGGATGCCTTGGAGGCCTCACTGTCCCCAAGGTACCTGAGTCTCATGTAAATCCCAGCTCTGGCTTTCACAGGAGCAACTTAACAGGCGACCCTGGGCTAGCACACACACACACACCATGGCAACAGACACCACCCAACATGGGGCAGGGCAGCCTTGGGGTGAGGACAGTTGAGATACATACTGAACCTCGGGACACGCTACATGCTAACTACACGTCACATGCTAACTATATCCCCAACAGCACATATCCACAATGCTTGCTCACGCATGCACTCCCCTGCCACACTTGGGTACTCCATGCTCAGAGGACCCACGCTGACGCTTGGTGAGGAGAGCCTTGGCTGGGGGGGAGGGGCGGCCAGTGGGGCATCTGGGATCGTGGCGGAACGGCCCTGTGGCTGCCAGCAGCTCTACCAGCTGGGACCCAGTCCAGGAGGGAGAACCCATGAGAAGAGTCGGCTCTGTCAGAGCTGCAGCCTTTTCATGTGGTTCCAGCTCGCTAGTGAGTCAGGATTTCAAAGGTGCACCAGCGAAGGATGGTCCCGCACGTCTCCGCCTCCCCCTGAGCCAGCTCCGGTGTCAGGTCCTCTGCCAGAAAGCTAAGGGAGTGTGCAGACAAGCACAACGTGAAAGGAGCTGCCGCTACACAGCTTCGCCATCAGCCTGAGCGAGAGAGGAGTCCTGGGATCACAGAGAATTCCGTCCTACCCCCATGCATGCCCCGGCTGTGCCCCCGCTGGACTGTCCGGATTATTCTAGGACAGACGCTCCATCAGCCCCACTCCTGAAGCCTGAGGGGGGTACACAGGAGCCTCACTGCTGACTGCTGCCACCTCGCCTCAGGTGGCCTGGGGATGGACTGCCAGGACATCCATCCCCTTACTGTCCTGGAGACCTGCGTAGGCCCACTGCCATCCAAAGTGTTCAGAGTCAGAGTAGAAGGCTTGGGCTGGAGAGCTAGCTCAGGGGTTAAGAACACTGGCTGTTCCTCCAAAGATCATGAGTTCAAGTCCCAGCAACCACATGGTGGCTCATAACCATCTGTAATAAGATCTGGTGCCCTCTTCTGGTGTGAATACTATATAAATAATAAATAATAGATATGTAGACAGACAGATGATAGATGATATATCTAAGATAGATAGATGATAGATAGATAGATAGATAGATAGATAGATAGATAGATAGATAGATAGATAGACAGACTACCTAGATTAGACAGATAGAAGCAGGGGCCAGCACAGGCAGATCACATAGGTGCTTGTCTTCCCTGAGGCCCTCCTCACGACCATAAGCAGGTTCCGCACGCTCCCACCCGAGGAAGGATTTGTGGGACTGTCTGGAAGCATCCAAATCTGTGACCATTAGGCAGCACCTCAGTGGGGATCCCAGCTTCAGGCATGGCCCTTCTCCAACCTGCCTTGCCCAAACCCGATGCAAGCGGGGCAGCGACAGCCACTCAATACCATGTTTGTACCAATGTTTGCTGGTGTGCCAGCTTGTCAGGCATGTCAGCAGACACACAGCAGGCCCGTCACCACACCCGACTGGCTGCAGCCATCATCCCTCCTACCCTCTACAAAGATGCTCCCTTTCCGACACCCTGCCCTCAGGGGGTGAGGCTCTATCTCCCACTGTCACGGAGCCGTGGAGCGGGAGCTACAGACTGGAGCCTGGACAGAGATGAGGACTGTGTCCTCACCACTCTGGACACTCCCCACCATACTATCTGTTGCCCTGTGGCTATCCACACTGCATAAGCTCCCAGCTCTAGGTGTGGACTCTTGTGAGCTGAGGAAGGGGCGGGTGTCCACAGCAGAGCCACAGTGGTGCTGACCCCAGGGCCTTTTACCCCACTCTGTTCCAGGACAGGACAGCAGGCCTGACTCAGTAATCCACCTGCCACACCCATCCACTGGAGGTCACCTTTTTCTTTCTTTCTTTCAATTTAATTTTATGTGCATTGGTGTGAGGGTGTCAGAGCACCTTGAACTGAGTTACAGACAGTTGGGACGTGCCATGTGGGTAACTGGGAGTTGAACCCGGGTCCGCTCTTCACCACTGAGTCATCTCTCCAGCCCACAGGAGCTGGTTCTTTAGCTTTGTGGTCCTCACTTCCCCGGGAATGGCTGATTTAGTCAGAGGATGGCAGAAGAAAGCCATCGTGTATGTCCAAGCTCCTCCTGAGGTGTAGTGAACACACCTGCCCTGGATCCCAGCAATCAAGAGGCTGAAGCAGGAGGACTGCTGAGAATTCCAGCCTAGCCGGGGATACAGAGAAAGACCATGTCCCAGAAAGCAAAGTAACTTTCAACAGCTACTACCATCCACAAGCTGTCATTCCACAGGTTCTAACCAAGTCACCAACAGACACATCTCCACAGACATCAATCTGGAACAAGACATGAGTAGAAATAACTGAAACCACAGGGAGTTGTGCAGGTGTGTGGGGAAGGTGAAGGGACTAGGGATACCCCAACCACCTAGGGAAGAAATGGCAGCACCACCTGGAGCCAAACCCAGGCTCAGTCAGTGATTGGGAGCTATGTGCCCCAGGTAGAAAGAGTGCCAGCCTCTACCCACAGCAGCGCTGCCCCAGGAACCAGAGCAGCAGGGACTCCAAGGCTGACCCCTCCCAGGGTCTGCTGGAAAACCAGGGCTCATTAAATAACCCGATCTTGAGGCAGGTTCAACAGCAACCGACTGTACCTTTGCAGCAGTGCTTCAAGAGTAAGCTGTAGTGTCAGGTGTGGTGACCCACACCTTTAACCCCAGTCAGTACTTGAGGCAGAGGCAGGTTAAGTCCAGTTCAAGTCCAGTCTGGTCTACATGGTGAGGTCCAGGCCAGTCAAGGACTACATGGTGAACACCTGTGTTAAGATACGGCAAGAATATGTGAACCCAAAGCAAAGAACCTTCTGATGCCTGCTAGTGACCACCTTGGACCACCAACTCACAAACTTTCCAGTTAAGAGATTAGCAAACACATGCCTCACATCCAAATACACAGGTTCCTGAGTCCTGCCACATACCAGAGGGAAGGAACATCCAGTCCTGGAGAGATCAGGGGCAGGACATAGACAGAAGGAAACATGAGCCACTTGGCACCCTCCAACCAGCTCTGGAAGGTGACCCAGGCTCAGGTTCCCAAAGATTATATGAGAACAGAGGAGGACACTGTGACGATGGGATATACAATTTTATTTAACAGCAATTAAAGTCCACCACAGAAGAGGGACAGCAGAGATCTTTTTTCATTTAATAAATACAAATGAATAAAAATACTTTGTTTTTTGAAGAGACTGCCTCTCTTCCTCCCACTTGCCAGGGAGGCCTGGGGTGGCAACATGCCCTGTGGACACTGCGTGTGGTGCCCCCACACAGAGCACCTCTTTACAGAGAGGGCTTCTTCTCAGTGGCATACAAATACTATTTCGGTACAAGCCCCTTCTCCTACAACTCCCAACACCGAATTCTGCTGCGTTACCAAAAGAAACAGACCCCCCGCTACACACACACCCCTTGGAGAAGGAAAGCACAAGGTCCCCACAGGTGGCTGCTGGAGCCCCAGAGCTGGGAACTATTAACACCATGAAACATGCACAGCGCTGGCCACTGACATGTGGGCGGGGGGGGGGGGGGGGGGGGAGAAGCAGAGACTGTGCGGTGAGATCTGCTGCACCGCCCACAGATGAGCTGCATTTTAAAAATAGAAACTCGTGTTTAACCTGTTTAGAAAAGGCCAAGCATCCACTTACACTGAAGATCTGTTATTGCTTGTGGGCCTGCTCGGGCAGTTGCTCAGCACGGCCCTGCTGTTAGAGACCCTCCTCCCCTGGCACCTCTGCTGAGCACCTAGTGGCGCATTCCCTTCTAACCCTGACCGTGACGAACAATGTGATCCTAGAGCTAACCCTGGCGCAACCACAATGTATAAACAGAACCCCCAGGTCAGACCCACACGAAAGCTCGGGAAGTCCCCGGCCACTCTCGTGTGCACCGCAACCCAGACATGGATGCCACCAGGAAAAGCAGCAGTCTTGGTGACCCATGTCTCTTCTCATGAACCCATTTACAAAGCATCCCATGGAGGGGGCTACGGTGACACCTGTAATGCACACAGCAAGCCTCTGTCACCATGCCAAAGGCAACCTAGGCTTGTAAGTGCAAAGTGTCAAAAGAAGCTCAGAATGCTTCCTGTGACACCTGGGTCTGAGAGGCAGGGACAGCAGGCCCACATTGCTTTTTCCAAGGTCCCATGTCCTCAGAAGGAGCAGCATTGGTACCAGCAGTCCCTGGCAGATGACAGAGGCAGGCCCTCAACACCTGTAGGAAGGAGCAGAGCTGAGGACCCCATGGCTGGGAGAGGTAGTGAGGACAGCCTGGACCCCTCCCTGAGGCGCGGCAGGAGGAGTCTTTTGCAGCGCAGCAGCTGTCAATATTCCAGTCATGATTTCTGAGGAGCTGCCTGTCTGGGGTGGAAAGAAAGGAACATAGGTGCCGTGGCTCTGCAGTTGCCTGTGTTGGTGTCGGCATGGCAGCACTGTTGCCAGGTGTTCTGGAGGACAGCGCTGGACTGCTCAGTGTGCACACAGGTGTGGTCTCAGAGCCCCAGAGACTTCTGTACGATCTGCTTGGCGATCTTGTAGAACTGCTCACGGTCATCCCGCCACATCTTGGAAGCATCTACATTCGCCCCACTCTCATCATTGGGCTCTGAAAAGAAGGAAACCGTGAATGAAAGGGTAAGTAGCTCCATTTTATCTCAGAGCGCCTTGGACCTTTCAAAGATCAATCTGGGTTGGAAAGTGGACTTCCAACAAACCAGGGCCTTCCGCCTGAGGAAGGGAGGGGGAGACTGGCACAAGGAGAGCAATGACCCTCAAATCATTAGCTCCTCCTCACCAGCAACCTGGGGCAGCTCCCTTAGTGGACAGGAACCCCTTTATCTCCCACACACCTCAAACTTCTCTTGTCTGAATCCTGCTTTCTCTGTACCTCCTCAGACATTGCACCCTGTGCTCAGGTCAGCGACACAAGTTCTCACACACCAACTGAGGGGGTCTGAGGACCTGTACCCTCCAGCCCCTCCAAACTCACCCACTCTCTTGGCTGGGAATGTCCTAGTGTCTGAATGCCAGGCTGTGCAGTCAAATGCTTTATTCCTATTCCAATCCCAGCATCCACCAGCTCCACACAATGGTCTTTCCAAGGCATAACTGCCACAGTGTGGCATCCACTGCAACCCCCAGGGCTGTCCACTAGGCTCCTGGCCCTGTCCAGCTGATCCTTAGCCCCAAATGCCTTTCCCTTCCTCCCTGTCCACCCTAGTGTCCCGACTTATTCCAAAGTAGCCCAGAACAGTGTTTCTGCAGGTCAAGTTGACAACAAGGGCCAATAACTATTACTGGGTTTTCAAATTCCTTGAAGGTATGGGGACCTCACACTGGAGTGTCCACTGTGTTATTACCCCTGTACACTCTGTGGAGTCCCGATAAATCAAAATACCAAAGAACAGAGAATAGTAAACTGTGGTCAACACGCTGGGGGTACTGGCATATGTTACACGGTATGTAACCATGGAAGTAGGCTCATACTTGGGAAAGTACAGACCTCATACAACAGAAAATAGAATGCAAAGGCTCACCTGCCAGCATGCTCACCACTGAAAGTAGGATCTTCTCTACACTCTGCACAGGGCTCCACCGCTCTGCACTGCTCTCATAGCCCATGGGATCATCACCCGGGGCATGCAGGATGGAGATGCAGACTCTCCCGTCAGGATAGACTGCAAAAGTCAGAGGCAACCATGTGAGCCCACATATGGTGCCAACTGTTTGCACAGCTGAAACAGAATGCTTCCTTTTGGCACAGAGGGGCCTGCCAGCAACAAGCCAATGCTGTCCGATGCTGATCAGGTCCTATAGTCACTGACAAGATGAAGATTCCTCAGAGGGTTCTGCAGAGCAGGTTTTTAGAAATCCCCAAGTCAGCTGGCAGGGCCACACCCGTGACTAAGATCCACGTCCATGTGGCAAGGCAACTGAACTACTTATGTGGAGGGAAAGGGGGGCAATTCAGTAACAATACCCAGTTCGAAATTATTTTTACAAATAAAAAGACATCTCTCTGGGCTGGAGAGGCAGCTAAGTGTTCACTGCTTTTCCAGAGGACCAAGGTTCAATTTCCAGCACCCAGATGATGACTCAGAACCATCCTTAATTCCAATTCCAGGGGATCTGACTCAGTCTTCTGGCCTTTGTGGGCACCATGAACATGTTACAGAAACATATATATAAGCAAAACACCCATACACGTAAAATAAAATTGAAGTAAGTTTTAGAAAAACCTGGTATCAAATGTATGGGCACACATGCATAGACTCTAGCACTTGGGAGACAGAGACAGGAAAATCAGGAGTTCAAGGCCATCCTGTAATATGAAACCTCTATCAAGCACCTCACTCATCAAATTTCTTAGGTATACCCACTTATAAAAGGAAGAAATAAAATAAGATAAATCCCAATGAGGGTATAGTCAGTGACAGTACTATTGTGCCACCTTCCAGACACACATGCACAAACTGTTCCAAGTTGAAACTCAGAGCACTACTGAGTACTAAGCTACTTCCCAGTCAACACGGCACTGACACTCCCCCACTAACCCCGAGTGCATCACCACGCCACGGCTAGGGATTCCTAACTGGTCTGCAGTGTCAACAGCCAGTCTAACCATAGCATTCCCTTTACTCTGCTGTGGAAAGACGGAGCTGCCTCCAGCTTTTTATGTATGTGAGTGTTTTGTTGTATGTATGTCTGTGCACCACACAGAACCTGGTTCCAGAGAGGACAAGAGAGGGGTATCAGATTCTTTGGAGCCTTGGCTGTGAGCAATGATGTGGGTGCAGAGAACCAAGTCTGGTTCCTCCGCAAGAGTTTTAACCACTATACCACCTTTCTAGCACAATTCCAAATTTCCACCATTAAAAAGGACACTATGACAAAGGCCAATGTCGGACACAAAGCACTCAAGGCCTGAAAGTTCTGGTAAGCCCATTAACACAGGATGGCTGAGCCAAACAGCCCGTGTTAAATTCAAACACCCCACCCCATTAAGCTGACCTTCAAAATGGAAATCCTAGTGCTTACACTACAACTCATTTGCCACAGTTTAACAGTGAACAGCCACTGTAGAAATGTGTGTACAATATTGGCCTGCCACGTCCACGTGCCTGTGGGACCTCCCTGCCCCTTCTTAATAGTGAAGCATCTGCTGCCCTGTCAACCACATGCACAGGCACTTACTGTTGGGATGGAACATCTCGCAGGTAAATCTCATCTTCGGAGGACTCAAGGGGTAGTCAAGTGGGAAACTCAGGATGGCAGGAAAAACACCAAACTCAAAGCAAGTGTCTTCAGGGCCCCTGCAAGTTAGGAAATATATATGTTTGCAATGGCAGCCTCGACACCAAAGTGGGAGGATACTATCACTGCCTACAAAGGCACATGGAAGATCTAAATGAAGCACTGCTTTCCTCTAGCTGCAGAATCCACCTTGTCCCTTTTCAGCCATCTTAGACCTGAGGTACAAACACAGGCCAAACCACAGGCAGCACAGCTTTGCACAGTAATTGTATCACAGAGACACCCAAGCACACTGTGGGTCCTGGGGAGGTGACTGACGGCATGAGGTCCAGTTCCTATGGGGAGCAAGGTGTGAATTTTGGCAGACAGCAATAGAGAGTCTTGTGCACAGAGATGAGGAGCTAAGGAATATATTTCAAGAGATATTCTAAATTTGCAAATATGTCTAAAATGTAACTTTGTAATCTTCAGACAGACAGGGCGCACACACACGTGATCCTCAACTTATGCAGCCTAGGCCACCACAACCCCTCCTGGCCCTAAGACGCCAACCTGTCCCAGACATCTCCTGGCATGTAAACAGCCGAAATGGTGCAAGCCATTAAAGTACTGCTCAAATCTAGAGCCTTGACGCTGACTGAGACCCGAAGGCAGGGAGATGGGATAGGGATACTGCCGGAGACCAACTCCTTCCTTCCAAATCTTACTAATGTAACGCATATCCGCAGTTCAAAAGGCTGTGGAATTGTCCACCACATAAACTCAGTAAGGCAGAAGTGCTGGCTGACAGCTTCCAATGCTAGCATGGGAGCTATCACCTCGGAAAGGACAGCACATAGTGAAAGGCAAGCCTTGCACTATTCACGCTGTCTGCAGGAACCAGGCCCTGCAGGTACAGCTATGAAGAAGGCGTGGTGGCACACACTTGCCATCCTACACTCCACTCACACGCTCGAGGCAGAGGCAGGAGGCTTTAAAGTTGGAGACCAGCCTGAAGAGTATAGAAAAAAATATTTAAAAACTAAAATACATGTTTAGTAAAACAAACAGGTCTGCCTCCCTGTGATAGTAGGTCTAAAACAAAGAACATCCCACAGGGATAAGGCCTGGGTTCCCACAGACAGGATCCATGTTAGATCCCATGGCTCCCCAGAGAGTCCAAGACACTACACAGGGGAAAATGAGAAGACATTGATTCAAAGGCCATCCTTACATACTAGGAAAGATTTTTCTCAAAGTACAAACTTATCTGGGTGTGGTTGTGACTAATGTCTAAGGCAACCTGATTTACACATGATCTTGTCTCAAAACAAAACAATAACGAGAAGGCGGGGTGGAGAGGGGAGGGGTGGCTCAGCTGTTAAGAACACATTATTATTCTTTACAGAGAATCAGAGTTTGATTCTCAGCACCACACGGGGCAGCTTGCAATCACCTGTAACTGTAGCTACAGGGGGATTCAACTCTAACTCCTCTGGCCTCTGTGGGCATTGCCACTTATGTTCACACACACATGAGCGTGCGCACACATAGTTAAAAATGATAAAAAATAAATCTGGGGAGAAAGCAAACATGGGTTGAGGTAAATAACTCAGTCTACAAAGTGCTTGTTGTGCAAGCATGAAAACCAGGATGCAAGCTCCAGGTCTGCCGTAAACACGCAAGTGTGGTAGTTTAGGCTCTTGAGCAAGACACCGGAGAGGTGGGGCCAGGCGGATCCCCTCCGCTCACTGTCACCAGCCTCACCAAATCAGCAGCCCAAGGCCATTGAGAGTCCTTCTGTCCCAAAAACCAAGCTGGACAGATATCCTGCTGAACATCTGAGGCTGGTCTCTAGCCTCCGCGTGCATGCAGCACAGATATGCATCCGCACACATTTATGTGTGCACACACATGTCCACACACACCTCACACTCAGATGAGACACCTCCACACAAAGAGGACAGTACAAATCTGCTTAAAGTCTGGTAAAGTTTATTTTAGACCAGTGATACACAGATCTGTAAAATGCTACCTGCACTATTTTATCTCCACAATTAAGAGACCAAGACCAAAAGAAAAAAGAAAAAGCTTTAACTTCATTTGCAGTCACACCCAGGGCTTCGAAAGAACAATGCAATGTCTTGTTAAGCCAAGTTTTTCTCAGTGACAAGTCCTGACTCTGGAAAGCGATCCTGTGCTACTTCAAAAACAACAGTGAATAGCTCTTCTGCTTGGAGGGATGACATGCTGCCTGACAGTCCCCTGGGGTCCTGGCACCAGGCCAGGGCAGAGGATGCCCTGGGAAGCAGCAGCACAGCCGCCTTCATGGGGTGTGGCCCAGCTGAGTTTTCCTCTCTCATGCTGCAGGGGCCTGGATGGACCCTGAGCTTTCCCTCCCAAGTCAGAGCTGTCGAGCACTTCGGCTGGGTAACTGTCACCCATCAGCACTCCCCAGCTTTCGGAATTACGGAGGTCAAGGGCACTGCTGCTATTTTACTACTAGACAAGGCTGGGGGTGCACAGTGCAGCCCCTAACACTGCAGTGAGGAGCCTGAATAAACGAAGACACTGTATTGGAAGTAACCCTGCCAGCCAGGCATGGAGGTGCACACTATTAATCCCAGCACTTGGGAGGCAGAGGCAGGCAGACCTCTGCGAGTTTGAGTCCAGCCTGGTCTATAGAGAGAGTTCCAAGCCAGCCAGGAGGACATACAGAGAAATCCTGCCTCAAAAGGAGAGCGACAGACACAGACACAGTCTGACTAAGACAGAGAAGAGAGCCTGTAGGGCTGGCACCTCTGAGTCTAGAGTGAGAATAGAATGGGTAGTGTCCCTGGAATGAGCTACATGCCATTTGCTTAATGCTTTGATAACAGGTCTTTTGTTTCTCATAATGGGGCTTTCTTTAAAATTAAAAAAAAAAAAAAGTCTACTGGATTGTTCATAGCATCAGAAGCATGACCCAACATTTCCTCAAGTGCGCCCACATCTTAAATAGCAAAGCTGTTTGCGAACACTCAGGCTTACTGCTGGTTTAAACTGGAGTTTCTTTCTCCTTTCCAGCATGACTGCCACTTGAACAGCTATGCAGGTGGCAAACTGTGTGCAGGGACATGCCTGCCAAAGGTGGGAAAAGCCACAGAGAAGCTTCCTGCCCCAGGACAGAGAGAGAACAGAGCTTTTAGACAAGTGAAACACTCAAAGCACACACCAACTCTGGTGCCTACAACAACTCCCATCTACCATCTGCAAACACACCTAACTTGCCAGTTCCCAGCACACCATCTGAGTATTGTTACAACCCGTTTCCCTTGGAATGCCTCCTTAACAGCTTCACTGCTGCTTTCTTCTTTCTTTCCTTTTTTACTTTGTTTTTTTTTCCAAGACAAGCCTTGGCTGTCCTAGATTTGCTTTGTAGACCAGGCTGGCCTCAACTCAAGAGACCCCCCTGCCTCTGCCTCCCTGAGCCCTGGCACTAACAAAGGTGTGTGCCACCATGCCCAGTCACTGCTTCTTCCTTTGTCTGTGAAAGAAACAGATGTGGAAGATGATCACCAGTGACTTCCATTCCTGCCTGTTCTCTAGCGCTGCCTCAGACAACATCAGCAACACACCTGTAAACACGGGACTGCAGCGAGAACATGACTTTCATTTTTACATGTTGCAGGGTGAAGCCTGCCTGGAAGGCAGAGGGTCAGGGCAGCCTCCTGATGCTGAAGGCTTTTTGGAGCAGTCTGCCACTAATCGGGCAGGAAGCAGGAAGCGTTAGAGACTCTGCTTTGCTGCTTCATCAAGTGTCACAGCGGACAGCAGACCGTCCCACACCACTGTAACTGATGAAGTGTTAAAACAGTAGGCGGCCCCTCTTCTGGGAGCTCAGAACCAGAAACGAATTACTAAAATTGCTAGTCTGAACAACATACAAAAACTGGGCAAACACACAAACACCCTCCCTAAAAGTCCCTGTGCAACCCCGGCACTGGGTGTTCCACTTCACAGTTCAACAAAGGCTTCTCCCAGCTGCTTCTCCCTCACCAGGGCCCAGAACATGTGACGAAGGGGCTGCACCATCACACACCTGGCCACACACAGGGCTGATGGGAGTGGCTGCCTAGGCAGCAGGGATCATCAGAAACCTGTCTGCTCCCATAATGTAATACCTTGTTGGCAACAGGACACAGCTGGAAGCTGTGACTAGAAAAAGGGACATGTACCACTGTTGTCCTAGCAACTTGGACAGGCAGGGACACCCTGATTCTTCTGTATTTAAAAGACCCCTCCACCACCAGAACCAGGGTAGTAACACAAAGGATTTGTTCCGTATTATAATTTCAGGTCAACTCTGTCCAAGAAGTAACAGCCACATCCTAATGTTTTTACAATACAGACACTGCTTAAAACACACACACACAAAACCTTTAATGTACCCACACTCTATCTGAAAGGCACTAAGTAAGTCTGTCAACTATAAAAACTTCACAACAAATTCTAACATAGAGGATCACTTGCCTAACATAAACGATAACCTTACTCGTGTTGGAAAATATTAAAAAAAAAGGCATGTCAGCAAAAAAAGCAAGCACCTCCTCCATCCTGCACCCTTCCCAGAGAAGATGGAGCAGTGTGGTTCTGCAGGGTTTCCTCTGTGTGCAAGTGCACAAACTCTAACAACAAAAGTGGATTACTTTAGAGTTAAAATTGTATCACGGTGTGAGTGATGGAAATGAAAAAAATGGAATAAACAAACACCGCACACTTGCAGAGAGGAGCACAATGTTACTGAGGCAGCAATATTCTTACAAACTGATCTGATGATTCAATAAAAGCCCAGCAGGAATACTACCAAAAGCACATGTGTAGGGATTTCATGGCACCTGGAACAGTGTGAAGTCTAACAGAAAGAACAAGGATGGAGGACTCTCATTTGCCAACTGTAAAACTAACCCTAAAACAACCACAGTTGGCACAAGGATGGGCACAGATCAATGAAATATGAAGTAAAAAATTAAGCCACTGCACCATGGACTATATTGATTTTGACAGAGATGCCAAGATTGCTCATTGGGAATTTAACAAA